ACTCGGTCTTCTTCTGCGCTAAATATAATCCGTTTAGATGCGATTTTGCCTTTTTTAATACTTTTTGTACAATTAAGGAAATCTTGCTAACGAAGGATGTATCTATTATTTCTCAGCTCGTAAAATTTCTTAAGATAGCTGATATTAAAGTATAACGATATCTCTCAAATCAAGATTTATATACACAATTAAATCTAACTACATGTTTGCTTTGTTTTGACTCGGACTACTTGACTACCATTGACCGTAAACATATGACTGTTTACCATTGACAACCATTTGTTGACTGATCTGGCAATGTGGTCTTTGCACCACGGCTAATTTATTGAAATCTCAAAAAAACACGTGCAAGGTGTATCAAACAACTGACTTCGCAAACTTGTTAACTTTTGGCTCTTAATTGAAATTAAATAAAACAATAGTATTTTGCACCCCACTCAAAAAAACAAATAATTAAGTACAATACAAATATTCTATGGGTTTGACGAAACAGTATTTGGCCTTTCGGCCCGTGGACAGTTTCAACATCATTACCAGTGGTAGGGCCAATGTGAATTTTGTTATTTACAATAGAACTGAAGGACGATATGCGCTGGCTGCAGCTGCTGAGAATGTAATTGTTTGGGATTTGCGGTAAGAAACTAGTCTGAATAATTTATACAGCTAGGTAGTTGCAAATTTAAATTTTCACAGATTGGGCGAACGGACTTTGACGTTGCGCCGTGACAAACAGGAGGTAACAGCAGTTCGAGCCTCTCCCGATCGCATACACGTTGCTGTGGGTTATATTGATGGGGTGGTAGAACTATTTGATTTGCGGGCTCCAGAGCAGTCCGCATGTACATTCGCTTTACATAAGAGTGCAGTGTCTATTTTGCGATTCGACGAAATGGGCATTCGATTGATAAGCGGCAGCCTTGATACGGAATTGGTAGTTGTGGATATTGTAGAACAGGCTGGTCGTCAGCGTCTCATAGGCCACAATGCCCCAATAACTGATGCTCACTTTCTTCATCGTTTTGGAGAGCAAAATCTTGTGGTCAGCTGTTCGAAGGACACACAAATAAAATTCTGGAATTTGGAAACCCAGTTCTGTTTCAAAACAATTGTTGATAATCGTACTGAGGTCTGGGCATTAGCTTTAGTAGGCGATCTTATGATCGCAGGTTGTAGCGAAAGCGCCATGAACGTTTATCGTTTACGTCGACGTGATGACCCAACTCAAAGTGTTGAAAATGCCGTTGAAGGATTGAGCATAGACGATGAAGATTCTATTAGCCCTATAACGGTTACTAATTGTGGCGCTATACAACGAGCAGGAAAGGGACGTTGTGTAAATTTAGTCTCAGATCAGGCTGAGCGTGTGGTCAGTTGTCATGGCACAAATGACCTTATCGAAAATTTTTACTTCTGCACTGAGGAGGAAGCTAAAGCGAGGCTAGCTAAGCGTCTGAAAAAAGGACGCAAAGCTGCCGAGCCAATGGAACACAGTGACAAAGAAAAAGAAGATTTGATTTCAAAAAGTTTAAGCCTCAGTGACGAGATAAAGCGATTGGAAAGCATAAAAGTAAAACAAAAAATAAAATCAATCGACATAATACTTGGTGCTCACAATGAACTGCGTGTGCTCGTTAGTTTGGCAAATAACTGCCTACAACTATATGGTCTTAATGCTTCGCTAAAACATAAACACAATGAAGAAAGTGTGAAGCAGTTGCGCGCATTGACGCGTCTTGGTCATCAATCAGAGATGCGTTCTGTATGCTTTAGTAACGATTCATTAGCTATTGGCTCAGGTGCCGGTGAGTCGTTCAAATTTTGGAACCGTGATTCTATGCAGTGCCTGCGTACTATACCTACCGATTACATATTGAGCACCACTTTCGTGCCAGGGGATCGCTATGCGTTATTGGGTATGAAAAACGGAAAGTTGGTGATAGTTGACGTGGGTGCAGCGGATATTATCGAGGAGATACCAGCGCATGAAAGCGAGTTATGGTCGGTTACGCTACTGCCAGATATGAAAGGCTGTGTGACGGGTAGTAGTGATTCGACGGTCAAAATATGGACTTTTGAATTGGTAGACAATGTGGCCACAGATGACGGTGGTTTAGTTGATGCCACGCGACCAAAAGTGCTCTCATTACTGCACAGAAATACACTCAAATTGGAGGAGACTGTTTTGTGTGTACGAGTTTCGCCTGATATGAAATATCTCGCAGTGGGCTTACTCGATTCAACAGTAAAAATTTTTTTTCTTGACACTTTTAAGTTTTATTTGTCGCTCTATGGGCATAAGTTGCCAGTTCTATGTCTAGATATCAGTTATGATTCGACATTGATAGCCACTGGCTCAGCTGATCGTAATATAAAAATTTGGGGATTGGATTTCGGTGACTGCCACAGATCCCTCTTTGCGCACGACGACTCAGTAATGGCTCTGCAGTTCATACCCAATACTCATTTGCTGTTCAGTTGCGGTAAAGATGGTAAAGTGAAGCAATGGGATGCAGACTCATTCGAAAAGATTTTGACGCTTCCAGGTAAGCAGGCGGATTTTTCGAACTCAGATTTTAAATCTTATCATCTTTGAATACTTTTTTCATTTCAGGCCATATTGGCGAGGCCTTCAGTTTGGCGGTTAGCCCAAATGGTAAATATCTTGTCACTTGTGGCTCAGACCGCACACTTCGTCTTTTCGAGCGCACTGATGAACCGATAGTGTTAAAAGACGTACAAGAAGAAGAGCGTGAAGAGCTGGAAAATCAACAACTCGCTACGGGCGAAGATAGTGCGGTACCTCAACTACCTGGCCTAAAGTTACCCTCGCGCAAAACTGTTGGCTCCGAGAAAGCTGCAGAGTCCATATTGGAGTGTCTGGAGATTTGTAAGCAATTTGATGTAGACGCAGATGAGAAACCCGAGTTGCATCCATTAATGCGCGCGCTGCAAGTCGATAACCCCGACGATTTTGTCTTCACAACCCTAGCGCGTATACGCGCCTCTGATTTGGAAGAAGCACTCTTATTGCTGCCTTTTTCGAATGTCTGCGAACTTCTCGAACGGCTTCCACGCCTAATTGAATGTCACAGTGACCAGATTGAATTATTGTGCAAAGTAACGATTTTCCTATTCAAAGTGCATATGAAGCCAATTAGTGCAGCAAAAAATTTGAAGCTTCTACTTAGTGGTTTGGTACGTTCGCTTCAGCGCGACGTTAAGGATATGCGTGACACAATTGGTATGAATGTGCATGGGTTGGCCTTGCTACAAAGCAAGATTGAGGAACACGACGGCATCCAGTTGTTCTATGAGGCAACGCAGGAACGTAAAAAGCGCGACAAGAAACGACGAGAGACGACAAAGCGTCGCTTAGCCATACAAATAACGTAAACATTGTTTTTTATTATTGCTCGATGTTAATGTGGTTGGCTTGCGAAACTATTCAAATTTTATTGGTTTTATAGAATATACTTATTATGTGGTAAATATAGGATAATGAAAGAATTGTTATAATTACAACTATTTTCATTTGATGTGTTAGATATTTTTCAACTGACGCCTAAGAACCTTATGGTTTAGTAATTTTAAACATGATGATTGCTGATTTAGTTTTTTGCTTTGTCCAAGTTATGTTTCCCTGATTTAAATTGTTATTTACAATATTTCGAGTACTTATGTGCTTGTGAAGTTTATTGCTTTTGAGTGCAGTTGAGTGGTGTTGGAAGCTTGCCTTGACATTGTGCATTTACTTTTAAACAAGAACTACGTGTGTCCAAGAACCCGGTCTACTGACTGCTTAAAATTCAAGTTGAGGGAAAGTACTTAGTAAAGATTCAAATAATTTTACATTATAAACTAAACTAAGAATGTAAACAGAAAACGGGACTATTTGATAATTTATGTGTAAATGAACGCATACTTAAAAAAAAGGAAATTATTGAGGTCAATTACATATGCCTGCTTTGGGGGCTGATGGTCCGCAGTTCGTATTGCAACAACCTGGAATATAAAAATTAAAGTTTTTCCATTATTAAAGATTATGTGTTATTAAAAACTTGTCATTTATGTACAATAATAAAGAAGGTGACAGGTAATAAGATCAACGGAAATAAGGTCAATTGACTTTATTTCCCACCCTGGTGCGAAATAAAGTCAATTGACATTATTACCTATTTAAAAACGAAATAAAATCAATTGACGTTATTTCTCTTTCAAACATTAAATTTGCTTAGCTTCGCGGCGGCCCGCGTCAGCGCGCCACACAGTGCGCGTCGCGCTCGCGCTCGCGCCCTCGTACCCAGCGCGACCGGCGCGCACACCACGTCACGCTACGCCGCGGCCCCCCCGCCCCCCCCTTCCCCGTCTCACGACGTGCTGTAACGCAGGTAGATTTATTTTTTGTATACGTTGAAATAAAATGTTTATATATTTTAAACATCGAGGGTTTATATTCAATAATTCCCCTATCTGCACACTTTTCACAAAGATGGGATTCTGATATAAAAATCCACCTAAGCTTTAACTGTCATCAGTGATATTAATGTTACCTTATATAACGACAGGTAATAAGTCCCAGATGGTTTCTAAAATCACAAATTAGTTTTTGTGCAAATTGCAGATAGAGGGTATTAATGAATTCAAGCCCTCGATATTTCACATTTTTATATTTGTAAGTTATTGGAAGCAGGGATGCCAACTTGGCTCAAACCGTGCCATTTGTTCCTATTTTACTTCAAATGGCACTTAATTTTTCAATTTGGCACAAAATGCCAAAATGGCACTTTTGTAAAAAAAATAACATTTCAATACAGTTTTGTGAAATCCTTTGCGTGCACTTCTTTTTCTCAACTAAAATTTTCTAATTTATAAAGGCTTTTCGACTGGTTTATCTTATTTTATCATTGCACTTTTGTTTTGAAAATGTGGCTTTATTTTATTGCTAAATGTGAATGATTTAAAGGAATTACACCTTTTTTGGCACTTTTATTTTTCTATTTGGCACATTTTGGCACTTTTTTTATCCTCAATATGGCACCTCATAACTAAGGAGAGTTGGCAGCCCTATTTGGAAGATTTCTGCTGTGTTTTGAGGCACCAACTTGTCTGCAGTAAAAAAGCATATAATTTGTGTTTCAAAAGTGTGTGAAATCCAATCAATTAACTTATATGATCTCGGTTCCGATATTAAATAATCAATAATTGTTTATACCCGCATTTTGGCACATTGGCTCGTTGAATGTGCCATCTAATAAGTAGTGTCGTCGTTCTCCTTAGCTGCTTTTAAATGACTGCTGGCGGAGGCATAAATACAGTGTAAGAAAATTCTTTTTTTATAATTGTTTCCTTATAGAAAAGTTGGGTTGTTTTCCACCTTAGACATTCCGAATTCGTTCAAAATATACTAATTTAAAACACAGAGTTCTTTCAGTGCTCCTCCGGGGTTTTTGGACATGTACTGTTTCTTCAATTTAATAGTGTTCGCTTTATTTTTGTAGAAACGAAAAATGTTTTGCAAGTTATGGATCATTTCTCCACTCTTTCTTCAAATATTTCTCATATTCCAGCTGTGCGTTTAGTTTTTCGCATCGTGTTTTTACATATTCGTAATTTAAATTTTTTTTAATAGAATCAATTGGTGGTAGTTCATGATTGTGTGTGGATTAATATCACAACACTGAGGATTTGGCAAAAGCCTTTTTCTTCTATTAAAAAACAACACTTACGGGGCAATGTTTATTGTAAGAACAACATTTTTTTCTATGAATCGACATACTTTATGCATTGTTGACGCTATTTCCATTTGAATGAGGAAATAGCGTCAATGACTTTATTTCCAAATTTTTGTTGACTTTATTTCGCTTTTGAAAAGGTAATAATGTCAATTGACTTTATTTCGCACCAGGGTGGGAAATAAAGTCAATTGACATTATTTCCACTGACCTTATTACCTGTCACCATAAAGAACGCTTTAACTGCTTTATAAATCGAAATTTTGTATGAAAATGTCACTTTATAGAGCTCTTTAAACCTATTTTATTTTTTATGAATAAGGCCATATATGTGTATTAAATATGAACCCACCAGAGCCTGAAGGGAGATCTCCCAATGTGAGGAATTAAAGAGTACTCCCTTTGGCCTGTTTTCGGAGCAATAAGAGAGATTTGTCAGTTTTGACCTCTTTTACTATGGCTCAGTTATGCATACTTGCCATTGCAAGAGAGTTGTTACATAAGTACGGTGATCATATTTATGAGAGCCGAATACGGGACAAAAAATAAGTTTTCAAATTTTTTCCACAACAGCTTTCTTCAAAGATCCTAGATGTATTAGCCCTGAAACAGTATCCTTATAGTAACATAACAAATTTGTATGTTAATTTTCTCGAGATTTTTACCCCGTAAAATTTGTTAAGAAAATCAAATTTTAGTATAATAAGTACAATTTTAAATCGCTAAGGCGTAGGATTAATTTTTGGGATTTTTTTTTTTTGTTCACGTTGTTACGCATTTTTTTCATACAAATAATGTCCGATCATTTTTTTAAGAGAAGCAAATGAGCAGCACTTTCCACTAAAGTACTCAATTTTAATGAGTTACAAAACTGCAAACCATTTTTTTTTCTAAAGATTCTAATTAAAAAGATTGAAATTTTGGTGAAACCTTGTAGAATTAATTTTTATAGTTTTTTTGCACAAAGTCGAAAATTTGTATTATATGTTTTTTGTTAGGAAAAGAGCTTTGCTTTCATAAAATAAACAATAAACATTTAATAGACTTCGGAAAAATAGCTAAAACCTACTAAAATATCGAGTCCTAATTTCCATTTTGGTCACTGTATGTATTCCTAGATTCGAGTCACAGGCATTTAGATAAGAAAATAACCACTGTTTATGGAGAAAATTAGGACCATATACCGGGGAAGCCAACTCGTGGGGATTTCAGTTCACGTGCAGAATCGGGAGATGAACTGCTTTTTGTGAAGAATTAGGTGTTAACTAATTTATTCTTTTTTGCTTCACTAATTTCACAATGAGGTAAAAAAGTCGCGTAAGAAATGCAACTGGAACTAAACACTTTCGGGGAAAAAATTTGAAAACGAAAATTTCTAGAAAGTCTAATTAAAAAGCTCGAAATTTTGACTAAAGTTTGTAGAATTTTTTTTATATTACACAAAGTTTGAAATTTGGATTTATATGGTTTTTGTTAAAGAACTAACTATATTTTTATTAAAAAAAAAAATAATAAATCAAAAAAAAAAAAAAGAAATAACAAGAAAAAATTATAATAATAATAATTGTGACAACTTGCCAAAATTTGGCGCGTCTAAAATTTTTTCGACCACTGTATGGGTTAAACATTATATGTAATTTTGTTTTCTTTATTTGTTAACTAACTTTATAATAGTTTTGGTTTGGTCTATGGCTACATACATAGCTGAATTACATTATTAAAATATATATATATCTAATATATAAAAATCTCGTGTCACGGTGTTAGTGGTCGAACTCCTCCGAAACGGCTGGACCGATCTTTACGAAATTTTTTGTGTATATTTGGTAGGTATGAGAATCGGATGTAAAGTATATTTCATACCGCTAGGTGCAGGGGGCGTGGCACCTCCCATACAAACCGAATATTTCATACTGCATATCTCTGGAAGTGTTCATGGTAGAGTACTCTAAC